GAACCAGGCATCCAAAACTGATGGAAACTAACCACAACTTACCAGGCAAGCTTCCCATTAGAGGCTGCAAGTTGTCAAGTAGACTCCCGAGTTCCAAAATACTTACTTTGGTTAGTTTCTGCCAGTGCCATTTTTGTTTAGGTGGGGATACAGATCCCTGGTGTTTCCAAGTCTGCCATCTTCTCTGACATCATTCCCCTCCCATGAATTTCTTAAGGTAACACTTCTATTTGTAAAAGTAATTTTGGTTTTGATTTCCTCAATACATATTTTTAAATGGTGAGTTAATTTCTGAGTGGAAAAATTTTTGCTTTTTATCCTTTTGTTGTTGATTTCTCATTCTATTTTTCTTTTCTTCTTCTTGTTTTTTTTTAAAGAGTCTTGCTCTGTCACCCAGGCTGCAGTGCAGTGGCGCAATCTTGGCTGACTACAACCTCCACCTCCCAGGTTCAAGCGATTCTCCTGCCTCAGCCTTCTGAATAGCTGGGACAACAGGCGGCCACCACCACGTCCAGCTAATTTTTGTATTTTTAGTAGAGACAGGGTTTCTCCATGTTGGCCAGGCTGGTCTCGAACCCCTGACCTCAGGTGATCCACCCACCTCAGCCTCCCAAAGTGCTGGGATTACAAGTGTGAGCCACCGCTCCTGGCCTCTATTTTCTTAAGGGCAGGAAATAGGCTTGTGTTATTTCAGTAAATTGGCTTTTCAGTATTTTGACTGAGGTTTACTTTGGGGTCTACTACATGGTTAAATTTTGTGAACTGCCCATCTGTGTTTGAGAATATTAATAAAAAGGTATCTATTTGTTCTGTATATTTCTATTAGAATAAGCTTGTTTACTTACTCAAATGTATGTCATTTCTTTTGGTTTATGAAATCTTGATTTCCGAGAGTGAAATGCATGTTAAGTGTCCTACTACTGAGTCTATTTCTCCTTGTATTTCGCTTGTAATTTTCATTTATTATGCCAGATGCATGAGGATGATAGCTTTAAGACTTTCCTTTTATTATTTACTTTTCTTCTTTTAATGTGCACACTTAACATTTCAGCATACATAAACTTACATTTTTCCAAAAACATCCAGATTTAATAAAAATTTGTGTCCTTTCTAAGCAGGTAAGAAATTTAGTATGCTTTTTTCTTTTTATCTCATTGCCCTCATTCATCTCTTTCCTTGAAATAATATGGAAATTTAGTCTCCAATTGTTCGGCTGCTTTGCTTTGGGTTAATAGTTGCTTAGCAATGACTGAAATTTTACTAATTTCTGTACTCAACATTGTTTCTCATTGCCCATGTATTCCTGTTAGATGTGCTCATTTTGCTATCCAGTTTCTCTTGGAAAGGATCTATGGGTCAAATAATTTCCGATTCCTGAAAATGTGTTAACTTTTCCTTAGTGTAGAATGCTAATTTGGCTGACCTTAGGATTCTGGGCTCAACATTATTTTTCTATAAAGGTAAAGAAACATGATGTGGCCGCTGGAGTAAGAAGCAGGTTGCAGAAGTTTTCTGTAAGATGGGATGGACAGCATGGAGGGGACACCGCTGATGACTCAGGGACAAGGGGCTGTCTGAGCAGCTGAGGGACCCTGGGTTCACAGCTGGAGAGATGGCCTTAAGTAGGAGCAGAGTGAGCTCATCCATGTGGGTAGGTTAAAAAGTGGATACTTCCTCTGTTGTGGATTTGTCTATTTCTACTGGTATTCTGTTTATGAATTCTGACTTGATGATGCAGATGCTTGAAGGGTAGCAAACATGGGTGTGAGAACTTACAGAAAGCAAAGTTGTCACCTGTGACTGAGGACAGGAGAAGTGCTGGAGGGTTGAGAAGAGGACACGAACCAACCATCTGAAGAGCGGGGGGAAGTGGGGAATGGCCACTGGGCAGCACCCAGGGCTCACTGGATTTAAGGTGGGACCAGTAATGATGACTGTGGGATTTTCTCTAGCCACATTCTAAAAGCAGAGTTGGATTTAACACAGGTGTGTGGTTTTACCACATAGACACAATAAAATAAGAGAGGCAAAGTAGTGTATACAAGAAAGTCACTTCCATTACTGGCCACGGAAGTCAGCAGATAGGGGAGGACAGGTGAAGAAGGGACCAGGGCCGATGACGGGCACTCGGCTGCAGTGTGCTGGGTCAATGGACCCAGCTCCTGTCTGACTGAGGAATCACCGTGTGCCAGAGGTAATGAGCTGTGTGGCTGGAGAGTGCTGGGGACTGAGACTGTGAAGGAGTTGAGTTACTGGTAATGACAAGGCCAAAGGTGGGGAACAAGATCACTGGGAGGGGACATCAAGAAACTGAGATCAGGGCACTGGAAGGATCAGCTACAGGATACTAAGGCTGCCAGAAACGATTACAAGAGTCATACTGGGAAGAGTTGACAGCCAGGAACCCGAAGGCCAACAAGGAGGACTGGTGGGTGGCAGGGTTGGATGATGAGATTCCAAGTTTGTTGCTTTAATGGAGAAGGGGAAATGGTCTGTGCAGAAGACTATTTTCCAAAAACGGCCATAGTAATACTTCTGGTCTCACATGATTTCCTGGGACTCTGTCCTGCTCAGTCAAGAGGAAGCAGTTACTTCATCTCCATCTGAATTTGGACTTTTTTTTTTTTTTTTGGTCTGCCTTGATGGACAGGATATGGCAGAAGAGATGTTGGATGCTGTGACTTTGGAGGCTGGGCTATGAAGAGTAACATGGTTTCTACCTGGCTCTTTAGCCTTTGGGATGCTTGTGTTCAGAATCCAGTTACCATCCAGTTATCAGTTAACTAGTCTTCAGGACCAATGAGAGGCTCACATGGAGAGACAAAAGCCCCATCTAAGAGCCAGCATCAGCCAGATACAGGCAAGAACGAATATGTGTCCGACTCCAGGTCTTCCAGCCAAGCCCAGACATGGGAGCCAGGACAGGTGATGCCTGCCATGCCTTGCCTGGACTCAACGCCCAGAATCCATAAGCACAGTGAATGGGTGTTCTGCACCACTACATGCTGAAGCGACTACAACAGCCTGGAAACAGGCCAAGAATGCGAGGGGCATCGGCTCTAGGCACCAAGGTATGGGGGAAACGCCAGCTTTCTGTGAGCAGGAAGGTGAAGGGAACGGTCAAAGACAGGGTGGGTGACGGTAGATTTACGTGGAGTTTCAGGAGTCAGTGAAAGACCACAGAGCCGTGGCCATGGTGGCAGCAGGGAGATGTTTCTGGGGCAGGCTCACCATTCCCCACATCCACATGCTGAAATGTCTTACAAAGAATCAAAGAAATGTGAAAGTATATTAATTATGAGTAATAAACATATTTTGCTTTACTTTCAATTTGATACATGGAAATTTCATCATAAGACTTGACTGCAGTGTTAACTTACATATTGGAATGACAAAAAATTCAGTTCTCTGGTTTTTCAAGTGTAATGAAGATTATATTAACTTAATGGCTTAAATAAGGCTTGTTAACCAAACACAAATATTTCATTGACAAACTAGAATTCAGGTATTATGAAGGAGAAAACAATTTTCAGAGATGCCCACTCTCTTAGTCTAAGAGATGAGGAATTTATTTGAAAGTTATACAAGTGCAAAGAAATAGATCTAGAAGCAGCAGGGTTTCAAATGAGCAAAGATGGAAGAAATAGAAAGTTAATGTTTACTGACATGGGGAAATCCTCACAAGAGCAATGAAAAAAATCTATTTCCAAAGCTAGGAAAAAATGTGGGTCCTACAAGACTTGCATGGAAAATAATTAGATGTAAATGTCCTTAAGAAGAAACTGAAGGGAGTGGTTAGGGTATTTAAAATGTAAGAAATACAAATGTCATAAAATACCCAGAGGCCGTGTCCCTTTTTAGTAAACACTCAGGATTTTAAGGAAAGATGACGCTTTGGAGCTCTGTGCCTTTGGCCTGTTGGTCAAGGTAATTCGTCAAGTGCAGGCACACGAACGGGCCTGCAAGCACGTTCAGGGGCTTATTTTGTTTTTAAAGAGCAACAACCAGAAGGAAGTGTCTTCAGGTGACAGAAGTGAGCACTCCTAAGGACCCTGGGCACCTTCAGAGCCACAGTGTGGCCCAGCAGGACCGGGGGTCACACCAGCTTTTCCTCTCCTTTCTCAGGTGGAGAGAGACATGAGTTCGAGGTTTCTGGAAGACGGCCTCCCACAGAGGGCTGGCCTTCGAACTCCTCATCTGAATCTTTTCTATCATCAACACCCTGGCCATTCCTTTTGCCACAGGTACAGCTCCGTACAATCTGGGGCTTAAAATTTCAATTCTTGGATGACCTGAAGATTCTTCCATGAAAAGGATTACTCTGAACTTAATTTTTTTAAAAAAAACAAAAGCCTCCAATGCTCAGAGATAAAGAGGAACAAACGTGCCATTCACTTGCGGCATCATAAACCAGGCCTGCTGGCAGCACAGCCGCCGGCTGCTCTCAGCATGTTCTCTGTGGATTTCCTGTGTGACTGCATGGAGGGCCAGGCCTGTCCTCACAGGCACTGCCACTGAAAATCCTGAGCCAGGCCCTGGCAAAATGAAATGAAAGGGATGACTCCACAGAAACAGATACAGGAGTCACACACATGCTGTCATGCCTCCCAGGCAGAACCCTCCAGGCAGAATTAACTCTTCCACCAGAAAGGTGGGAAGTTAGTTGTTACTTTTCTGTTCAAACACTTCTCAGGACCAAGAGCACACATAGTTGGAAACTTACGTTTGATTAGAATTTCTGATTAGAAAAGAATTTCTGAAATACGCCCAGCTTCACTTTCTGGGGTTTTGGTTCCTCATGGTCCACTCAAGTCTGAAAACATTAAATGGGAAATCCATTTTAACTTGCTCGCCATTGTGAGTAGTGTGATGAAACTTCGTACCTCCTGCTCTGTCATGCCCGGGACATGAATCAGCCCCGCATCCAGCTTCTCCGACCATGAGTCACTTAGTGGTGGTCTTGGTTTTCAGATAGCAAGAAGGGTGATTACAGTATGATATTTTGAGAGAGATCACATTCACGTAACTTTTATTGGTTATTGACTGCTGTTAATCTCTTACTGTTCCTTGTTAAGCTTTGCCACAGTATGTACGTAGAGGAAAAAGCCACGTGTATACATATATGTAGGGTTCCACACATACTATCCACAGTCTCAGGCATCCACTGAGGGTCTTGGGATGTCTCTCCCACAGATAAGGGAGGACTACTATATAGTGTTTTCTGACTTTCTAATAACAGGAGACAATCCCTCATAATCTAGTGTTGTTAATAAAAAATCAGAATACAACAGATCCCCATTTATTTTAAAATGAAATTAGCTAGGCATCATATATATGAATGAAAGATCAGAATGAAATACACGAAGATATTAACAATGATTGTTTTGGGCCACAGAATCAGGCACAAGCTCGGGAGAGAAGCCAACAAAAGCTCTTCTGCATGATGGGCGGAGGCACCACTGAAAAGGCATCTTTCCTTCTTCATGCAAGCGAGGCCCGGCTCCCACAGGCATGGTCTCCTTGCAGCTGCGACAGCAGAGGAGGGCGCTAGCAGGGCTCTGCGTCCAGGTGTGCCTCTTTTTCTCTCCACGCTCTTTCTGGAGGAAGCAAGCGTGTCTTGAAACCAAGTTAACTCGGCACCAGGTCAGCAGGATTCAATATCTGAGTCCTGTTTACTTTGGTACGTGATACGGAAGATTTATGTTATAAAGGCAGACGTGACTGATTTCTTCTGGAGATGCGGGTGGTGAACTTACCTGGAGGACGGCTAGTACCTTCTCCACTGGTCATGCTCATACTGTCTGCTTCCTGCAGTAAACAGACATGAAAACCAAAGTAAGAATATATCTCTCTCAATACACAAACAAGAACGCTGCACATTTCTAAGTATGAACAAAGATGCTGAGCTGTATTTGGAGGACAGAGCTTCATCCTCTTTACAGTTGTGGCCACATGCCATTAAAACTGTGTTCCATAATTATTCCATTAAAGTGGAAGCAATTAATTAAGAGGTTCATGGAAGGAAACAATGTCGAAGTTGTTCCTCTTCACACCAGCTCCATCCATCTGCGGGATTTCTAGGCATTTACTATTGCTGACGTTTGGAAATGGAAATTCACATGCAGATGGCTCACCGTGGACGTTCTGCCAACACAGAAAAGCCCACGTGCAGCTCTTTCTGTGGCTGGCCCAGACTTCCCTTCTCCAGTCCCAGCGTGGGTGGCCACTGTCTGCCTTTCTGACAGACAGGGAACGTTGGGAAGAGACTCGGGGCGGAACCTCCCTCCTCGTAGTAGAAACAGTGACAGTTTTTCACATTTTAAAAATAACACTTTTCTTCCAGAGTTCCCTGCTCTATCTTCTGGTGTATGACAGCGTGAGCCTTCACTTGCAGTGACTGGGGACGGTCTCCACGACTCTCCTCTGACCCATTCCTGCCGTGGGCAGTCTGGGTCTCTCACACTCCCCCCAAAAGTGTGGGCTCCGGCAGAAGGTGTGAAAGGAGAGGGTTACAGCCACAGTGAGGTTTCCAGACCCTTGTTACCTCTGCCCCCACCCTTGTTATCACAGATGATCACAGGCAGTTTTACAGCAGGCCTCCTACAGAATCACCACAGAGAAGTGACAATCTGGAAAGTCACAGGCAAATTGTAGCTATGGACTGTGGAATTTAACACATCATCTCTTGCCAGCTGGGCTGAGCAACAGCAAGGAAGAGGTTAAAGCCTTCTCACTTGAGCAGCCTTTGTTCTCGGGGCAGCTGCCTGCACTGAGCTCTGAGGCCTTTGAAGTGGACCAGAGAGTTCAGGCTCCCCAGGACCCCACTACCTGTCCACACACTTAGGCCCCGGAAACTTGACAACCTTTTGGCAGTGACTGAATACTTTCATGATGAGGCATTTTTAGTGTTTTTACTAACACAAGGAATTTTACCTATCAATTGCCCTGGAAACAGTGACAACTTTCTACTTGAACTACTTTAATGTCTCCAAGAAATACCAAAAGAGGAGTTCAAGGTAGGCAAAACCCAGGAAGAAATGTGTTGCCCCAAAGTCACTCACAGTAATTACAAGTGAAAAAGTGGATTACTTGGTCTGAAAAGCACATTCCAGTATGTGTATAACATACCCTTTACACTGGAATCTCTGAAATGAGAATACACACAGGCACCCCGATGTCATTTCTGTAACTACGTCCGCATGGAAGGCAGAACGCAAATGAAACGTAGCACCCTCGCTTCTGTTTTGCAAGAACCGCTTAATTTCTCCTGCTCTTATTCCTAAACTCTTAAATCTGGCATTCGGCATTTAACATCTCAATTCTGCCTTTAAGCTGAGAGTCTCCTAGGGCTACTTTCTGGCCCCAAACCACATGCATCACCACTCTTTGATTTCTGTGTTACTGTTACGATCTACTCCAATAAAGCAGAGATCTTTGTCAAAGACCTATTTATGAAACTAGGGCACGGCCTTGAAGTGGTGTTAGGCTCCAGCTGCTGACGTCATTACAGTTTTACTGTTTCTAAGTGACCAGAACAGAAGTGGTAAAACGTGCTTCCCTAGGCCTTGCACCCAGACTGACAAACATTCCTTCAGGTGCCCAATAGTTCCTGAAATTCTAAGTGGTCCTGTGGGCGGCGAGAAGGGACCCTACACCTGGAGTTCACGCCACGTAGCCCGACCGTCTCCTCCTTTCTGGAGGGCTGCGGGCTCTGCAGAGCCCGGGAGAGCCCACTGAACAGTGACGTAGGAACGAGGCGGCAGAGACAGGTGTGGAGCTGCTCTCCTGGTCTCACGTCCTTCACTCAGCAGGGCCAGCGGTGCCCACACTTATCCTGGGCCCACTGCTCACATCTCCTCTGTGCTCCTTTCTGGGTCAGGAAGAGCTACAAATTCACTTTGGTTACTTGACTTTTTATTTGTCTTTGTCAATGACATCCTAAATAAATGGATATCAGAAATGAAACTTGTGCTAAAGTGGTACTTATAGATGTGCGTACTGGATTTAAAAGCAAATTACTGGGCATGCTACGGAAAGCTTGGCAAAATGCAGAACCTAGGGAGAACCTCTGCCACCCCCACAGCCTTGTGGACCAGCTCAGGGATTCAGGAATCTACAGGAAGCAAGTATTAAAGCAAGACAAGAGGGCACACACACCAGGGGCCTTCATCTGCTAAGTCTGCCTCCTTAGGTCCATCCTGGGACATGCACAGCACCCTCAGCAGTGGGAACACAGCAAAGATGAAAATGAGGGACTGAGTGTGGGACACGCAGGGTGCAGGGGGCCACAGAGCCCAGGGCGCAGGGAGTCCCGAGGGAGGATGGCATGTTCTGGGTAGAGAAAGGAGTGCCTCCTGGGGAGGCCTGTGGCCACTCATACGTCCAAACCCACAGAGACACAGGCTGCGGAGGCAGCCCTGGGTTGTTTACTGGAGGCTGAGTAACCCTTTTCTGAAACGCTTGGAACCAGAAGTGGTTCAGGTTTCAGATTTTTTTCAGATTTTGGAATATCTGCATTATACTTACCGGGGTTCAGCAACCCTAATCTGAATGTCCGAAATTCCAAAATGCTTCAAGGAGCATTTCCTTTGAGTGTCCTGTTGGTGGGTAAAAATTCTGGACTGTGGAGCATTCTGGATTTCAGACTTGGGATACTCAGTCTGTACATATTTTCTGCTTCCTATCAGCAGCTTACACTATTACAGGCAGAAAGGATTAAGAAACAAGTGCTCCCGGAGATACCGGCGGTGCCTGTCCTGGCTCCTGTCGGGGACAGTCTGCCTTTGTTCCCTTCCTCCCTGCTCCCTGGCCCTTTCTGTCAGCTGTCCTCAGAGCCTCTCCTCTCTGCCAGCTTCTGGACGGCCTCCCTCTCCAGCTCAGTCCTGATGGGACGCTGCCTCTGTCTGTCTCCCGCCAGCCCCCCATGTCCTGTCACCTCCAAACCTGTGTCCATCTGAGGGCTGTCTCCTCACCCACACAACCAGCTGCTGCATGCCACTTAGAGATCCCTCAGACTTAGCTCAGCCTGCCCCAAGGAGCTGCCACCAGGCAGGACGAGGAAACCATGGTGGCTTCCGGACTTCTGGCAAGACCAGGGGTGACTGGGGGCTGCCTGTTACCGGCTGGCCGAGGGATCTGCTGCAGAGGCACACAGGGTTCCAAGAGTGAGACTTTCCCCGGGCAGGGATCCAGGGCTGACAATGACTAGCTACGGTTCTGCCTATGGAAAGTCATTCTGCTGTTTTAATTTGCACGAGGAGGAGAAATTTCTGGACGCTGTTCTCTGCTAACAGAATCAGAAAAAAACCTGTTTCCTGTCAATCCAAGGAAGGGGGTTCTTCTGGTCTACTTCAAAGACGCTCCTGTCTCTGTCATCACACTAAAGAAAGAAAGAAGCCAATGTGCATGGCATGCTTCCTGGCACCCGGCCCAGGGCTATGCGCTGGGGGAGCCCCGGGAGGAGCAGACGGCTCTGCTCCCTCCAGGCCACACCTGCAGGCTTTGGTGCTGTTCCTGCTTCACTTCATTCTGCAAGAACAGCGACACTGAGGTAGGACTGACATTGCTTTATGTTTCACAGAACAGTTTGACATAAATATTAAGAGAAATGTTAGCATTAATGCCAGGAAAGGAAAAACTTGGTTTTGGAAGAAGCGGCCACGATCACCTCCGCCTGGGTGCTGGTGCTGTGGAGGCGCCGTCCCTGCAGCTGGTCAGGCCACACTGATCAAAAGCCAGGGAGCAGCCCAGGGGTCCAGGGATCCCCTAAGGGCAGGCCACTGGGAAGGGACAGAACCAGGGCTTGAGTCAAAGTCAGTCTGTCTGAAGCTACCACAGCGGGCCACCTCTGGAAGAAAGGGAAAAAAGAAAAGCCTGTGACTCTTACCATTCCCAGAGGAGTCAGTACCAAACAGGTCCCACTCTACCTACCTTCTAAGATCAGGGCAGGCCGGGGCATGTTCTTGATGGTACATCTGTCTGTAAATGACACAGCTCTACCTTTCTCACTCACTCCTAGGAGTTATGACATGGTTCCACCTTCCTTACTGGCTCCTGAGAGTTACACTTTACTAACGTCTCACCCACCATTCAATAAATAGAATCCAAAGTCACAGAATTCCAGAGCTAGAAAGGACACTCAAGGTTATCTAGGGCACGTGCCCGATGGAAAGGGTTCAGGGCGTTGCCTGCAGCGACGCGTCCCGTCAGTGGCAGGCCTGACGGCACACTCTCGTTTCCTCCGTGATGTGACGGGCGGGCACACCTGTCTGCAGAACCCACAGCCTTTGCCCATCCTCCCATCTGGACTGTGGACTCTCTTGACCATCCCCTCCCCACCTTCCTGAGGCCCAGGGGGAAGAAGGGGACAACTCCAAGCCAGAGGGTAAGAGAAGGTCCCCTTTCTTACCACGAGGCTAGGAGTAGGGGACACGACAGCATGCCCTGCCCAGTCAGGCTGCCCGAAAGAGAGGCTGCGGCTCTTCCCTCCCCTCCAGCCTGCCTTACTGGGTCAGGTGGGTTCTGCTGAATCCTCACCTGGAGGGGCCGATGCCTTTCATGTCATCGAGGTTGGCCTGGCATTTACGGCCAGGCTGGTCATGGATCTCCAGGGCGGGAAGGTGTGGATGGATGAGGCTGGGATGCCCGTTACACCCAGTGGCTTTACTCCACATCAGTCAACCCAGTATTTCCAACATTACTAGACCCTAGATCTAGACCAAGCTGTGTGCCATCATCAGCTGGATGTGGACGGTCTGCAGGCCTTGAGCATTTCCACGGGATGTGGTCACTGAGGTCTCACCACCTGCTGCAATCACCTGGGTCCAGCTTCTTGGTTGGTGTGGACTCCAGATTCACACAGAGCTGCAGGGCCCTCCAGGTCTAGCCCACCTGACCTCGTGACAGCTCTGACTGCCTCCTCTGTCTCCACATCTGGCACAGAGGTGTCTGGCATCAGCTCCCACCCTCTCATCAGGCCTTTGCTTAAATATCACCTTGTCAAGGAGATCTCAGATCTGCTATTTAAAGCAGCAGAGAGAGCGAGGGAGTGATGGAGGGGGAGCGTAAGCTCTACCCACCCATTTGGACCTAAGTGCTCTGCACATGCTCACCTTCCTCTGGGAGCAGCCTCACCATGGCTCATGTGAGGAAGGCCTCTCACCCCAAAGACTCAGAAGCCCAGATCCCGCACTCTTCCCAAAGCAGCCCTAATGTGCACTGCCAGCTGCAGACAGATCCGCCAGGATCCGCCAGGTCAGGGCTGTAGGCCCCCAGCCCACGGGGAGCCCCCAGGACAGGCGCTGAGCAATCTACACACACACGACCTCAGGGCTGCAGTTTCTGACCTGAAAGCAGACTCTTAACCAGAGTGGAGAAGCGAACTGGAAAGCCACAGCACACGCATCGCACAGGACTGCACCCCTAGGCCAGAGTCACCGAGGGCAGCGGCAACGGCCCCCAGCACCAGGCTTCAGTCTGAGGCTAGGTCAGTTTACAAAATCGCTCCTGTTGTTTTCAGGTTCCCTGTTCGTGGTTTACTCCAATCAACTGCAGTACCTTCTAAGTTAAAAGCAATCTCAAATATCCTTGCACAAACGGAGGGTCTTCTGCCCAGATCTCAGCTGCACTGCACTGGTATAAATACTTGGATTTAGTCAGTGACAAAGTGGAAGTGACCCTTATGTTAAACTGCAGTAGAGACCATGAGAGGACGGACTGCACATGCTCAGTGGGGGCCATCTTGAAGCTCCAGATGACAGTGAGCACACGGCTTGGTGGGGTAGAGTTTCTGCAGGTTAGGCTCATTCAAGGAAACATCTCAAGCACATATAAACCTAAATTCATGGAGCCCTCTCTCAAGGACGGGCATTTCAAACACAGTCACCACGAATTCTGATCTACCCTGAACAATCATACGGTGGACTCGCAATGTTTGCTGACTGCACAGACCCAAGAGGAAAGGACACGGTACTCAACAGACATGCGGCCCTGCAGCCTCCATGCAGACTCCACCCCAGACGGACCCCAAAGGTCAACTGGATTCACACCGAAGACTTGCTGTGTTTTAGAGAATAATTTGAGCAGCTTGCGAGTCTACACATTTGAGACGTTGTGAAAGTCACAAATACCATAAATTAAAGGTAGATTTGGCTTTTAAGGCATTCAATGATAAATATTAGGTAATTTCAAAGTTTATGAAGTTTGGCTCTCAAAACTGTAAGGAATTTGAGCTCAAATCCTGATGTGAAGCTCTCGATGTATTTAAATTCAGCATAATACATGCATTAAAACAGTATCTGTACAATATATGTAAAAATCACAGGGTTGGGGCTATTTTCTACCTCACAGTATAATCCAAGTCACGGAAAATATCGGAATGCTATCACCTGAACACGGCTATGGTGAAACACTACAACCTGCCCTTTTTTCATGAGAACAATGGATCTTCCACATGTAAACTTTACAAGTGCCTTCTAGCGAGCAAATTACAAAAACTGGATCTTGAGCAGAATGAACTGATAGAAAATGAATAAAGGGGCCAGAAGCAGACAGGGCTAGCATCAAGCATGGAAATTATTTGTTTTTATTTCACTAAATGATAAAAATTAGATGCATCGGTATACTTATCTGTTTATTTACTGGAACTATACAACCTCTTTCTGAAAGAAAGTAAGGCAGTTATCAGCAAAAGCACAAGGTGAGAGGCAGTGCCATGCAGGTGGCCCAGCAGTGACCACTGGCCTTCTTACCTGGTCCCTGGTCTCTCCACGGCTGCCCCTGACTGGAACGGCTATACCCAGAGCCCGTCCTGTGGTAGCCGGAGCCCTGTCTTCCCCACCTCCCTGTGGGAACACATGGTCAGAGGATTAGCAAGTTGTCAAATGTCTTAACCCAAATGACACATCATGTAAAGGTGGCAAGGCGGCACCAGGTTGGCAGTTTGCCTGTACTTAAATCAGAGGGAGGGTCATGAAAAAACGCAAATTTAAGGGTTGCATCCCCAGAGAACCCGGCTCGGGAGGGAGTCATCGATCTGCCTGTTAAACCCTACCCCAGGGGAATCTGGTATTGGTGGTGAGAGGTCAGACTCTGCAAACAAAGACTCCAGCAGCCCAACCACTCCTCTTCCCTGGGGCCCCCTGGACCCACACAGGCCACGGCACCCATGACCAAGCCCATCCCTCTGGGGCCCTGGGTGAGGCATGGAGCAGCACTTCTGGGACTTGTGAGCTTCTCCCCATTCTCCATAAACTTCATTCACACACACTTTTCACACTTTAAAATTTCCGTAACTTCCCAGTCCATGACACCTTGTCCTGTTCGTCTCTACCAGAAGGCCTGATTCAATACAAACTCATGTGATTTTTTAAAGGAATCATGATAGTCCATGGCGCTCCACAAAGAAGGCCCAGGCCACTCAGCCCTGCCATGGGTACCGTCCCTGCTCCACAGGTGCACTGGAAGCATCTGCGAGGAGGGCCACACTGTCACCAGGACTCCCAGTGCGTGACCACACATGCAGCGTGCAGGCCACAGGCCGCCTGGGGCTTTAACTATGAGTGAAGGACGGCCTTGCAGGATGTGCCTCCGCCAGGCTGGTCCTCCCTGGACTGCTGCGGTGTCCATGGGGGCATGGCTTTGTGCTGGCACATGCTGCCGGGCTGCCCTCAGGACACACATGTCTGTTAACAGACACACAAATCTGTTAGTTCAGGACCTGTATCCTGAACTAACAGATTTCTGATCATATCACCTCAAAAAACTTCAAAAGCTCCCCACTGTGAGGTGGGTAGAAAAGCCATGACTCGCCTGGCATTCAACAGCCTCTGTGGTCTCTGAGGCCAACTTAACTTCCCCAGTGTCCTCCCACTGTGGTACCTTACCCCAGTCTAGCTACTGAAAGTCCCCCAAGTCCACCTTCCTGCCGGGATGTCATCCCTTTGTGACTGCTGCCCTTGCCTCTGAGCTACTGGTCTGCAGGACTGGTGACATGCCCCTCACATCTGGCCAGGGTCAGCCCGTGTGTGCTCATCTTACACACGTGGTCTCCAGCTCACCTCCAGCATGGGCACTCATGACCACACACGGAGAATAACAGGTGACTCCAAGCTCGGAGCAGTTGTGAGCTCACGGCTGTCGGCGTGGGTCCAGAGGCCAACACACCAGGAGTAGGTTGGCGTTGCAGTGGCCTGGCTGTGCGGCCCGCGTAAGCAGACAATGGCAGTCAGGACTGCAGAGCCCCACCACGCCCCTACAGCCCCTCCCCAACAGAGGAGGGGTAAGCTCGGCATTACCCGAGAACACGGGGCTGGGGCCAAGCGATGGAGGCTCCAGCCTAACGTCTGCAACTAAGAACCAACCTTGGTTTTGGGTGAGCCACGTGGGGAATAAGGTTCTTCAGCAAAATGAGGCACTGAACCACATAACCTTAAGTTGGATTTGTGAAGAAAATTACTTTGAGAACAAAAAAGGGAACAGTTTCCAAATCACGAAATGATCTTACTAATCTATCACAGTTCTTAAAATGTAGTTCGCCGCATTAATGGAATAATACAACAGGAAAATGCAATCTGCCTCATTAACTTGGAATAATATGACAGGACACTGATTTCTGCCCATTTGTAGGCAAACTTCATTAGAAAGGAGTCAAAATTTAGTTTCTATACAAATTACAAGTAACTGTATCACTGCATTAAACTAACAGGTTATCTTTAGTGCTCAAAATAAACTTGTCATGCAGGACCTCCTGGCCTCTGAAATGAAAGAGGAGTTTGGCCTGACAGCTGCCATGCCTGCGGCCACCTAAGCAGCCTGTGTCTCTGAAACGGAAGAGTTGGGCCGGGCAACTGCCATGCCTACTGCCACCTAGGCAGCCTGTGTCTCTGAAATGAAAGAGGAGTTTGGCCTGACAGCCGCCATGCCTACTGCCACCTAAGCGGCAGCGTCCAGGACCTGCAGGTCTCTCAGCCCCTTGCCATGGTTTCGCTGACAACCTCAGTTTGGAGAGGGGAGGGAACCCTGCAGGACTGCGTGTGCAGTGCAGACTTTTTTTTTTTTTGTAAAGACAGGGTCTCGCTATGTTTCTCAGGTCCGTGTCAAACTCCTGGCCTTAAATGATTCTCCCACCTCGGCCTCCCAAAGTGCTCAGATTGCAGGTATGTGCCCAGCCACAGCGCAGACTTCTGAGGACCTGCCAGCCAGGTAAGGAAACAGGTAATGTGAGAGAATATCACATATTTATTTTGCAATAAATCAACTTTGTTTTGGGGTCCCAATCTCTGTCTATCTATAGTTGGTGGCTGAAAGTCAAAGACAGAGAAAAGGATTGGGAACAGTAGAAAAAGCAGCCTTCCCTCTCATGGTTGGACATGGCTCCACACACCCTGGCTGCTCTCCTTTCGTGGGGTGCTACACACGACACCTGGTGGGATCTGGGCGCACCTGAGGTAGCTCACAAAACCTCTGAGAATGGTATTTGCAAGGCTGACACCAAGTAGTTCTCCTAGAGATACTCTGGGTGGATAAGAATCTGGGCTGAGTTCTCTTATTCCATCGAGAAAAATAATGGGACTGCAGTAGTTACAGGTGTAAACATGAACTGAAGGAGGGCATGAAATAATAATTAAAAAGTCTTATTAACAAAATAAGCTAATAAGATGTCTAACTTCACTGACAGACAAAGCAGCATTCAATCAATGAGATACATTTTTCATCTACCAAATTGTTTTTTACAAACCATCAGAACACGAGGTCAAGAGATCGAGACCATCCTGGCCAACATGGTGAAACCCCGTCTCTACTAAAAATACAAAAATTAGCCAGGTGTGGTGGCAGGCGCCTATAGTCCCAGCTACTCAGGAGGCTGAGGCAAGAGAATCGCTTGAACCCGGGAGGTGGAGGTTGCAGTGAGCCAGGATCAAGCCACTGCACTCCAGCCTGGGCAACAAGAGCGAAACTCCATCTCAAAAAAACAAAACAAAAAAAAAAACCCCAGACTTTTAGAAGTGTCAAGGGTGCCCTGAAATGGAAACTCTTGCTCACTGCTGGAGAAGGTATTCAGTGATCATTTTACCTAAAATTGATTAAATTTCAATCTACGATCCCACAGATGATGACACTCTGTTTTAAGAAAATAATAATAATACACATAAAAGCATTAGGAGTAATGAGAAAAAAATGGAAAGATCCTCAGAGCTCCAAACAGGGAACAAACTATCTAGTAGTGGAAGATTCTGGGACCGTTGCTTAAGAAGAATGGTGTTAACGCCCGAAATTAGGTGTAAGTGGGAAAGCAGGATGCACACTGCGTGGAGTGTGCTCACCACAAGATCCAAACACGGAAAGCCTCGGCAGAAGCCCACACTTGTTATCTTTATGTGACAGAATTAAAGGCCATGGATACTTCCTTTTTAATTACTTTCTTTATACTCATTTTTTATAATATACTTTTATTGTAAGAAAAAATAAACCTAAACTCTTGTCAAATAAACAAACATTACCTAAGCAGCCCTTCTACTTTGGGGAACCCCAGAAAGGTTGTTACACACGCAGAGAAAGAGTTCTTAATTATTTAATTAATGAGTGAATCCTTCCTGAGAAATTTTCCAAATGGGACCAGAATTCAAACCACTGGGTAGAGATCTATCATTTTAATTCTTCTTTTTTTTTTTTTTTTTGAGATGGAGTCTCGCTCTGTCGCCCAGGCTGGAGTGCAGTGGTGTGATCTCGGCTCACTGCAACCTCCGCCTCCCAGGTTCAAGTGATCCTCCTGCCTCAGCCTCCCAAGTAGCTGGGACTACAGGTGCCCACCAACACGCCTGGGTAATTTTTGTATTTTTAGTAGAGACGGGGTTTCACCGTGTTGGCCAGGCTGGTCTGGAACTCCTGACCTCAGGAGATCCGCCTGCCTCGGCCTCCCAAACTGCTGGGATTACAGGCATGAGCCACCACACCCGGCCCCATCATTTAAATTCTATTCTGTTCATCCAATTGTATCAGCCTCTTCTTAGAATTCATTTATCAACAAAACTCAGGAAGCAGTTAGGGTCTACGTCTGTGGGGCTTCTTGAGGCACCTGGCCCTTTCCCACCTGCATGGTGTGAGCCCCAGTGGGCTCGGCCGGTGATGCGTCTGTTCTCCTTCATGCAGGCCTTGCAGACCACTGCCTTCAGGTTGTGGAATTTGGTGAGCCGAGATCTCTGCAAACAGACCAGATGCAAATGAGATGTGAGGGGCCAGATGTGACTGGAAGGAAGCTTATGGGACACCCTCCCACGCCACTCCCAAGGCTAGGCAGCAATGGTGGCTGCACCCTCCTCCCAGGCACAAATCGCAGCAGTTTTCCTTCAGCATGGCCACATCCCAAGGGGTTCTTCGAGAACATATTCTCCTAAATCCCCCAGAAAAATAACACCAAGAAGCTTGTGTAGGTTAAACAATCATTTCTAAAAAAGAATCTTCAAGTCCTATTATGACCATTTAGGTGATTACCACACAATCTTACCTTAAAAATGTTTGGATTTAATATATCTTAATCTTTCAATTCTTAATTATAAGAACATTCAGCAGAAATGCCAAGGCCAGAAAACAAAAACAAAAACAAAACATCAGCAGATCAAGAAACGGAACATGGAACATTCAACCTTTCCTTCAAGCTTCCTGTTTTATTACTATTATTCTATCCTGTACTTTTTTTTCCAAACTAGAACCTATAATCACTTGGAACTCGGTCAAGAGATTGGATAAAGAAAGGAAAAGATCCTTGATGGATGATTTACAGGCTGTGGTCCAATAAGGCTACTTCAGCTTTCATTTCTATAGCCTACTTTCCAATACTTGCTGGCTTATTAGAAGCATATTTCTCCTCTTATTCTGCTTTTGCTCTCTACAAAATTCAGGCTGCTTCTAAGTTCTAAATACTTGCAGTCCTATGCCACTCTGGAATCCGTGTGTGTGTGTATGTGAGGAACAGTGATGGCAACACATTACCAAATGTGTTCTCTCTGCTATGAAAGCTTGGAGTGCTTTATCGTGACAGACCGGTACGCTCTCTCACAGATCACACCGCTTTTTGCATCCCTGCGGGTACTAAAACACATTCCAAATGAGCTTGGCTTGAGGCCTTATTTGGAAATCTTCCAGGAGTCATGTAGCGATTGTATTTATAAAGCTGGACAGCAGCCAGCGTCCCCAACTAAACTGGCAGTCTCTGGGGAGTATTTTCAAGTAATAAACCATAACTATACCTATCGGATTAGTCTGATATCTGTGGGGACACTTTCGCAGGGAGTACTTGTTCCTCATTAAAAAACGGGGAGAGGGGCTGGTCACAGTGGCTCATGCCTGTAATCCCAGCACTTTGGGAGGCTGAAGCAGGTGGATCACTTTGAGCCCACGAGTTCAAGATCAGCCTGGGCAACATGGAAAAACCTCATCTCTACAGAAAATACAAAAATTAGCCAGGCACGGTGATGCACACCTGCGGTCCCGGCTACTCAGAGGGCTGAGGAGGTAGGATCACTCGAGCCCAGGAGGTGGAAGTTTGCAGTCAGTGGAGATTGCACCACTGCACTCCAGGCTGGGCAACAGAGCAAGACCCTGTCTCAAAAAAAAAAGTATGTGTATTACATATATGTGTACACATATGTGTGTGTGTGAGAAATAGGGAGAGGAGTAAAAAGCACTTCAAAAATTAAAAATGTGTCAGACTGGTGTGATGCTGCTTGCCCTACCTAAGCATAAGTTTCGGAGTCCTGAACCCTATTTAAGAATTCTGGAAGAAGCTACAGGTTGAGCACTCCTAATCTGAAAATCCAAAATCTAAAACTGCTACAAGCGGAAAATTCCACACCTGATCTCATGTGATGGATGCAGTGAAAACACTGTTTCATGCATGTCATTAACAATATTGTATAAAATTACCTTCGGGCCATTGTATAAGGTGTATATGAGACATACATGAATTCTGAGTTTAAACCTGGGTCTCAGACCCAAGAGATCTCATTATGTAGGTACAGCTGACCCTTGAACAACATGGGTTTGAACTGCATAGATCACTTACACTCCCATTCTCTTCTGCCTCTGCCACGCCTGAGGCAGCAAGACCCACCCCCTTCCTCCTTCTCCTCAGCCCACTCAACGTGATGATGATCACCTCCACTTAATGGACAGTAAATATAGTTTTCTCTTATGATTTTCTTAATCACATTTTCTTTTCTCTAGCTCACTTACTTTATTGTAAGAATACAGTATATAATACATATATAATACAAATGACGTGTTAATTGACTGCTTATGTTATTGGTTAAGGCTCTGGTCAACAGTAGGCTCTTTGTAGTAACATTTTGGGGGAGTCAAAAATTATCTGCAGGTTTTCCACTGCAGAACGATTTGGAGCCCTTAACCCTTGCACTGTTCAAGGATCAACTGTATATGCAAACATTCCAAAATTCCAAAAACATTCAAAATCCAAAACACTCTGGTCCTAAGTATTTCAGATAAGGGCTATTCAACCTGTATGAGTTATGTTGACGCTGAAGCCAAATGCTTCAAATCATGTGTTCCTGGTTTAATGGAATAATGGAATCCTTTATTTGGAAAGCATTAATTTGAAAAATGCAACAGCCAACTTCATGTTTTTTGTGTAGCCTGGTACTACAGGGATGTTTCTGGTGAAAGGTAGGTGTCTGTGAACTCACATTTTGTTCTAAAAGCACCTCCACAGCATAACCCTTTTCAGACTGCAAGTACTTCTGATGAAAAAGCTTCCCATCAAATATATTCCAGGGCATGAAATCACTCATCTTCCAGGGGAAGCCACACGCGCTGTTGACTAAAACCAGAGTGGTGAGGCCGCGGACGAGAAGGGAGCCCAGCTGCACGGCTCTGGGGTTGATGTAATCAGGCTGTGGAGACCAGAACACACACCAAAAATGTAAGGCAGGAGTCACACACGCAGGAAACAGATCTCAGCACTGCACAGTTACTCTGCTCCAAACGGACGCTCGCTTAGAATGGACGGCATCACCATGGCTGCGTCCTCAAAGCTGAGCTTCACCAGCTCTACTGATGACAGAGGTCTTGGAAGCAAGCTCGGCTGACAGAAACGAGGGCGCCTCTTCATTAAGAGTGTCCCCATCCATCCGCCCATCTGTTTGAACCTCAGCCACTGACTCAGGCCTGCTCCACACACACAGGCGTGAGCACAGTCTCCTGCCTCCCAGGAACCTCTGGGCTGAGAACAGACATGGTGAAAACTGTGGTCCACTAGGAGAAAGCTCACATGATCATTCACTTCTGGGTGCATTCTTTCCTGAACAACTTTCTTCGAAGGCAAAGGGACGGACAGGGAAGCCAAGAGAGTATCATTTTAGACACTATTAAATTTATTGTATTTAAAAATCATAATTGTTGTAATGATGAGTATTTGTTACGAAAGATCTAACTTTAAATGAATACTTACAATTTAAGAATAAAACAGCTTACATATCTCACCAGGTTGGTAGGCTGATAATCTTTGCAAATTAAGATCATACCCGTATGAAATATTTCTTTTCACTGTCAAATTTACCTTGATGTCCAACATTCTGACTGTTCTCAAACAGGGAAGTCATCCTAAGATGCCGCAGAGGGCTCCTGCATTTAGCAAGAATGCTGCATGAGACACTCTCTGCCTCCTGGCTGACACTGGCCCCAGGGGAAGTGACACTGATATCTAGCGAGTGTCCACATGAATCCATAAATGAGGTAAGTGCAACTGAATCCGTCATCGTCCGGCTTATCTATGCAGCGCAAATTAACCAAGAGGTATTTTAAATAAAACTGAAACAAATTAGGAGAAAAGTAACAGATATTTTAGCCCCTTTAGAAGTTAAGGTTTCACTTACTAAAATAGAAGCTTGCTAACCATTGTAAGAAATTTATCATGAACTGAGATTATCCGAGAGTTAATCTAAGGTTTAATCACAATGATTTTGGTTGCACAGTACTACTTTATCCTCAAATAGTGCTGTACGACACTTTGTGTTGTACAAAATTATCCAAAACAACACTTGTTTTTAAAAACAGCAATCATTATACAAGTACACAGGGCTCAGCAGATGCTGACTAACAGGACGTGTTAGTGAGAAGTGCATTTCCTACAGAAGCCTGAAGGTGACTGCCAGTATTGTTTTAGCATCCATTCTATGCTTTTCTTATTCATTGTTATTTACAATGGTTTTCAAATGTTAAATCAACCTTGCATTCTAAAAATAAACCCAACTTGGTCATCATGTATTACTGGTTTTATATATTGCTGGATTTGATTTGTTAATATTTTGTTTGGAAGTTTTGAATTTATTTTCATGAAACAGAACGGCCTACATTTTTATTTCTTGTGACGTCTTTGTTAGATTTTTGCATCAGGATTTTGCTGGACTTATAGAAACAGTTGGAAAGCCTTCCTTCTTCTGCTCTCTGGAAGAATGGGTGCAGCACAGCTGCTGGTTCCTCCTTCGGGGTCTGGAAAAACTCACAGGGAAGCCCTCTGATCCTGAGGTTTCCTTGTGGGCACAGTTTTCATCTCAGATTCAATGTTTTCAGCAGACATGGAACCATTCAAGTTTTCTATTTCTTCATACCTCAGTCTTATTAGGTTGTATTTTTCAAGGAATGTGTTCATTTTACCTGAAATTTTTTCACACGTTTACTCTTCGTGGCACACATTTTACCTGAAGTTTCCAATGCATTGGTATAAATGTTCCCTCATCTCTTTAGTCTGCATTCTCTATGTATACAGATGTCCCTTTTTCAGGCTGTATACTGGCAATTTGTGCTTTCTCCTTTTTTGATCAATTTCATAACAGGTTTATCAGTTTTATTCATCTTTTCAAATTAACTTAGAAAAAAAGACTTTATGTTTTTAGAGCAGTTTTAGGTTCACAGCAAAACTGAGAGGAAGGTGCAGAGATTTCCCACATACCCTCTGCTTCTCTACAGATCAATGCCTCCACCTGCCAGTCCCTGGAGGACACATTTGCTACAATCGATGGACCCACACTGACACGTCCCTCAAGTCCACAGCTGACACGAGGGTTCACTCTTGGCGGTGCACATTCTGCGAGTTTGGACAAACACGTAAGGACCTGGACCCACCATGAGACTCATCCAGAGCAGGTGCACTGCCCTAAAGTCCTCCTGCTGCCTGCTCACCCTCCCTCCCCCGAGCCCTCAGCAAGCACTGATCTTTCTACTGTTTCCATTGTTCTCCCTCTTCCGACTTCCTATAGCTGGAATCAGACAGTAGCAGCTTCTTCAGGTTGGCTTCTGTCCCTCAGTAATACGCATTTAAGTTTCCTCCATGTCTTTTCATAGCTTGATAGACTTGTTTTTAGTAATGGATGACATTCCACTGTCTGGATGGACCACAGTTGGTTCATCTCATCACCCACCGAAGGACACCTGGCTGCTTCCAAGTTTTGGGAGTTACGAATAGGGCTGCTGAAACGTCTGTGTACAGGTTGTGGTGTGGCCGCAGCAAGGAGCACAGCTACTGGACTGCGTGCTAAGACCCGTCTAACTTTGTAAGAAACCGCTTCACAGCCATCCAGAGTGGCTGCGCCACTTTGAATCCCTACCAGCAAGGAGGGAGAACTCCTGCAAATGACATAAAAAGAAACCTTTCTCTATTCTCCATTCGTTTCCTATTTCACTAGTTCCTGCTTTTACTATTTCCTTCCTACCTACCACACACCCTGCGTTTGATTTTTTATTTGTAATTTATAGAGATGTATACTTAGATCATTGATTTTCAGCCTTTTTTTTTTTTCAAGTACATTCATTTAATTCTACAAATTTCCTTCTCAGAATAGCTTTCAGCTGCATCCCACACATTTTTATGGACAATATTTTCACTGTCATTCAAAATATTTTATAATGCCGAATGTGGTTTCTCCTTTTTCCCTGTGAATTATTTAGAAGTGTACTGTTTCAATTTCAAATAATTGAGAATTTTTACTTATTGTTATTACTGATTTCTAGCTTACTGTGGACAGAAAAAAGATGGATGATTTCAATTGTCTGAAATTCGCAGAAGCTTGCTTTATGAACTGTCATCTAGTCAATTCTGGTAGATTTTCCATATGCACTGGAAAAGTGTTTACTCCATAGTTTTTGGGTGCAGAATTCTATAGGCCCGTTAGGATGAGTGTGTTCACTGTGTTCAAAAATGTGTTCAGAAATTCGAATCCATAGCAACCTTCTGTCTGTTTGTCCTATCAGCTCTTGAGAGAGGCTTTGTTAAAGCTCCACAGACTTCCTCTGCAGGGGCCAGACAGTGAAGAGTTTAGGCCCCCTATAGTTTCTGTTAGATATTCTTTTTTAAACTAACCCTTTAAAAATCCCAAAAAGCATTCTTAGCTCATAGACCCACACAAAAGCAGGCCAAAGGCCACACTTGGCCTACTGGCTGCAGTTTGTGGACCCCTGTGCTCACAGGTCCCACCGTGATTACAGATGTGTCTGCTTCGTTCTTCAGTCGTGTCCGTTTTCATCTGATGTACCTGGAAGCTGTGCATACTAACTTACAGATCTAGAGAATCCGGAAATAATCCTGGGGCGCTGACCTTTCTTCTCGGGTGTCCCTTCTTTCTTTCATGGCCGTTTCTAACTGAAGTCTACTTCTGATGCAGGCACACTGGTTTCTTTGGGTTAGCAGTGGCATGGAACAGCTTTTTCTGTCCTAAAACTTTTAATTTTCCAGTGTCCTGAGACCTTAGGTATCTGTTTGGTTGGTGATTATTTTAATTTTTATTTTGAAATGACTACAGATTCACAGGAATTGACAAAGATAGGATAGAGGGCTGTACCTTTCACCGATGGTGAACATCTGACATACTATAGGACAATATCCAAACCAGGAAGCTGACATCAATGCCATCCACAAACCTTATTCAGGTTCTAGGCACTTTCAAAACCTGGTGGGTTTGTGCAGCCCCTGCCACCATCATCAAGACACAAAACCGTCTCTTCACATAAGACCTCCCTCATGCTGTCCCAAGTCTCTAGCAACTGGTAATCTGTTATCCATCTCTTTATCCTGTCATTTTCAGAATGTAACATAAATAGAATCATGTAATATGTGACCTTTTGGGATTGGCTTTTTTACTCAGTATAATTCCCCTGAGATCCATTCAGGCAGTTCCAAGCGCCAGCCACTCACCAAGCGCCAGCCACTCATTCCTCTTTATTGCTGAGTTGTGTTCCACGGCATGGATGCACCAGCCTGTTAAACATTCATCCATTTAAAGACATCTGGGTTGTTTCCAACCTATGCTACTACAAATACAGCTGCTCTGAATATTCATGCACAAGTTTTTGAATGAACCTAAGTTTTCACTTCTCTGGGATAAATGGCCAGGCGTGTGATTGCTAGTTCAGATGGTAAATGCATTATTAGTTTTTAAGAAACTGCCAAACTGTTTTCCACAGTGACCGACACCAGCCATGTAAGAGGCTAGTGTATGAGGATCGCATCCTTGCCAAAATTTGGTGGTGTCACTATTTTATTTTTAATTTCAGCTGCTCTAATCCGTGTGCAGTGATAGCTCACTGTGGTTTTAATTTGCATTTCCCTAGTGGTTAATTATGTTGAACAACTTTTCATGTACTTATTTACCATCTGAATGTCTTGGGTAAAATGTCTGTCTTTTGCCTACTTTCTAATTGGATTGTTTTTAATGTTGAGTTCTGAGAATCTTCATATTTTCTAGATATAAGATCTCTGTCAGACAAGTGGTTTGCAAATATTGTCTCCCAGGCAGTGGCTTGTCTTTTCCTTATCCTAATAGAGCAACATTTTTAATTTTGAATTTAAAATGTTGAATTAAATATGTTTGAATTAAAAATGTTTCCAATTTATCAATTT